TATCTTCCCATCTTGGTCTTGGGCGGTAAACGCATAATTTTTCGGTCCACCAGTGACAAAGGAAAGGATTTTCTTATCAGGGGTCTCGTCTGTCATGTCCCCCAAGTAATCACCTAAAGGCGGTGACCATTCCCCCGTCCGTGCAGTGAAGATGACCGAATCTGTGTCAGCATATAGAGTCCGGTCGCCTAATTTTTCCAGGTAGGAGTATAATTTTAGACGGGCCTGTGCCGTAGTGTACGCTGCGATGACGACGTTGGTTCGACCGCTGATCTCTACGAAATCGTCGTCTAAGACCCACTGGAGTCGTACCATTTCCTCGGACACGTAGCTGACGTCTTTGACCTGTTGGCGATTGCTAGTCAACATATCGAAATATTCGCAGGGATCGGTCACGTATGTTGTTTTGGGCATGTTTTCTCGCTGACCAAATTTACCCCAAAAACTGTTGAGCATCAGTTTTGCCAGCGCTCTAAGACCTGGGTTGGATACGATGTTAGCGTACTCGAGATGAATTCCTTCTCTTTGATGGTATTCTTCTATGTACTTGTATCTGTCTTCTTCCGTTTGACACCATTTTGGCCAGCCAGATGCCTCTTGCTTCATTTTGAGAAATGTATTGACATAGTCGGTAAATGCTCCGCCCGATTTTGTTTGTGGATCGTACTGTGATATGCGATCGAAATGCCACACTTCGAAAATCTTATCCACCACGTAACCCTTTTCTACGGCTTTTTTGACTTCGTCGGTGACCCAGGTTCCAGTGATCATTCTTTCCCGATCGGTGTGCTCACAGGTCTGTATTTGTTTTTCCATGCACGTTCGACAGAGGCCAAACAGAAGCTTATTGTTGATTTTCGATGGTAGGACTGGCATGTATAGATGCTTTGGGGGAAGGATGCGGCATTTGATGAGTCCTTCGTAGTTTTGAAGCAGATCAAAATTTTCGGTCACGATCTGGGGACGTCCCAGTGGAATCTTGCCCGTTTTATTGATGAAGGGATAAAGTGAAGTCACATCAAAGTATTTGATACTGGTGTTTTCATCTGCCTGGGCATGCAGTTTAAAGGCTTCGGTTCTATCGCCGAAAAAGGCATCTCTAGGTTGTAAGGGCGAGGTAAACTCTAAGTTCTCTATAAAAGCCTTCATTTCCTCTGTGGACTCTACGGTCCGATCGAAATCGGATTCCCACATCTGTAGGTAAGTATATCCCGAAGATTCCAAGTACCTTCTCTTTTCCAAGGTTCTCTGATAGAGGTCCCCCATGGTCATTCCCGCGACTTTATTGAGGGTGTTGGCAGAGTAGCATTTGGGATTACCATGCCAAAAATCACCATGAAATTCCATCACTACTTTCTGATCCCCTATTTTATAGTATCCATCGACTCTGTATGGTCCAATCACTTTTTCCCCTTCGTTGCCTGCATGTTGAATCTCTACGTTTATTTGATGAGCATGGTATTTTATCCACTGCATGGCCTTGAAGGATTGTTTGTCTTTCGGTCGATACCCTTGGGGTGGTATAATGCCGATAGACTCTCTTTCCAAAAAGAGACTGCGAAATACCAGATTACAAGCCGAGGCAATGGTGATGCAGCGTTCGAAAGGGTCAACGCCGTCCCGATCATCTCGTGACGTCATATCCATGAAGATGTCCCGGAATTTGAGACACCCTCGCCTGAGAATATCGACGTCAGACTGACAATATTTGATTATTTCTTTCTGAAAATCAAAACTATCGTGTTGATGTTCTTCGTACCAATGGAGAAACTTGGTGCGATCATCGGGCATCATACCATCTGCATTATAAAACTGTACGTCTGGTAGGTGATTTATGATAGCCCTCTGATTTTCTTTTCGATTGTATAGATGTGGAAAATAGCCCTTGGCGACTTCAGGTATATCAAACGCCTTTGGCATCTTTGAGAGAGCCATGGGTATGAAATTCATGGAATCCAGGAATTTCATTTTGAGATGAGGTATCTCGATGCTCATGAATTTGGACCCATTCATGATCACCTCCGGCAAGATGGCGTTCTCGTACAAGTAACTGACGATGGGATAGCTATCGTACCCTCGAAAGTTATGACAGAAGACTTTAGCGCCTTCGTTTTCCTCCGAGAACAGCCATTTACAGAAATCGTCACGTGTGTTTGGGCCATTGAAAATGCGTTGCTTGTAATGGCATAATGAACAGTAGCTATGCTCGTTGATCTCGTCTTCGTCAATGCATTCTTCGCACACCTTATGAACGATACATAAATTGGGCACGTGTCGATATGAACCACACGACGACTGGTTGCAATTTTTGCAAGAAGTGATTTTCCTTGGAACAAAGCCCTGTTCGCACGGATTTGAGTGACAGTTTTTGCGATGACAATTTCCACATTTGATGGATATCTGGGGAAAATAACCCTCATCACACTGGATCATGTCATCCTGTGTGCATTCAAAATCGAAAAATATCCACTGTTTGAGTTGTTCGTCGTCTTCATCGACCGTTACCTTCCGTTTTCTTTTCAACAGCTTCGTTTCTTCTTCCTCTTCTGTGGTTTTCATGTAACACACATGATCTTCGGACTTAAACATTTTGCAAATGTCACAGTATTTGTTTCCACACACGTGCGGTTGTCTCGATTTATTTCTGTTCACTGTGGTGGAACACTGACGGCAACGATAGTACGTATGACACGTGGAATTGCCTTGGAACGACAGTTCAGAATGTAGCTCGAAACAGGTAGTGTTCTTGAAATGACGATTGCACGTGGAACAATACTGCCAGTCTTCTGAATGATCGTTGTGGCATCTGTGACATAGATGACATGGTTCATTGCAGATATGCTTTTCTTTGTGGTCATATCCTTTCTGGCATTTCTGACAGAAATAACTTCTGTCCAAGAACCCCGACATCGTAGTGATCACATCATAATGATTGTTGCGGTGATACAAGTAGATCTTTTTATCGGCTTCCGGTCCTTGGTACACGATGGCGTTAAAACAATCTTTGGAAAGAACATGGATCTGGTATCCAGGTAACACCGACTGAAAGGTCTTCACGTCCTCCAAATCGCACTGCCGTAAAGGCACACTGGCAACTTTGTGTAATTCTTCGGCCAGGGTTCTTTGTATACTTTTGCCTGATGCATAGGAGAAGACATTTCAGGATACATATTTCATTTTCTGAACAAGTGGTAAATAGTAAGACATGTCAGAAAAAACATAACATATGGAATATGATATATCTCTTTTCTCTTCAAATGAATAGCATGCATTACATGAGCTCAAACCTGTTCGTATCGAATTCCATTTCGGATGTTTGTCAATTCTAGCTTTGGCCGTCACAATTGCTCTGGCACAACATAAATGGTCTCTGTTGATAATCTTGATGAAGCTTCTCTTTTCTTTCAGCGACTTTTCAAGATCAACGTAGCTTTTCTTTTTATGTCCTTTTCCGGAGGGCAGTTTGACGTGAATCACTTCAATCTCCAATGACTGATCTACGACAAATTCCTCATAAGACTGCAGCACGCGTTCTATTTCGGTGAGAAGACGATCCGCCGATAGCTGTGCAACCCGCATGAAGGGTAGACTTATGGGGTAGTCCAGCTCTGGACACTGGACAGTTAAGCGAATTAAGTGCAATTCTCTGTAATCACCAAAGTAATTCTGAAAGGGTCTGGCACGCATAGTCTCAGATTTTCTTCAAACTTGGCATATAGTATCTTCCTAGGGTAAAACTTATATGTATGGCATAATTTTTTTCTGGACATCCTCCGTTACCATGGTAACCGGGATACAAAATTTCTGACATATAGGGCTAATTTGTGTATGGCAATTTTGCTAAAATCACACTTTTTACACCATCTGTGCTGAACCCATATTTTAGATTAGAACTCTGTTGCTAATTTCTTATAAAACTACAACATCAACACTTTCAATGGATATCTTTAATATGTTTAATAATTATTTGAAAATTTTGTAATACTTTGTCAAACAATGGCAAAATATCAATTTTTCGAAATTTGGTCAAAACTGAAAAATTACAACATTTTGGGAAGAAAAATAAAAAATTAGCAGAACTTTCACAATGTATCACCTATTTCATCTGAAGGTACTTGTCACAAATGATGAAAATACTCAAAAACATTCATGGGCAAATAACAACAAATGTTGACTATAACAAAATGAAAAATCATAAAATTGGCATTTCGCCAAAATAAAGCTTTGATGAACATTTCATATAACAAGATATATTTTTCTTTTTAAAATAAAAATTCAAGGAATTTAAGCTTAAAATTTGTAAAATCAATGAGATATTGTCAGCTGAACCATAAGAAAATTATTTATTCATATCTATAGGCAAGAATATGATCATAAATATAACCCCCCCCCTCTAATTTCTAGCACAATACAAAAATAATAGTCCTCTATTACTGATTACTGCAGTTAATAAGGCTGCATCATAATTTCTATTAAGTTATATGCTTTTATTTAAGAAATAAGGTATCATTTTTTGAGTTTTATTGGGATGTAAAACGGGTTGGTCACGTGATCAAATCTCATAAAGCACGAAGGGCTTTATGGAAGATTTGATCATGTGCCAACCCGTTTTACATCCCAGTAAAACTCAAAAAATGATACCTTATTACTTATATTTACATTTGTGACTTATTCATACTTTAAATTGGCCTGATTGTGACTTTTAACGTGTGAATTGCATTATTTTTCAAACCCAACGACATGTATGTAATCCACTGAATGCGCGTCGACCCTTTATGACGTCACTGAGAAATTACATCGAACGTTTATCCATATGCACATCTATGACCTCTTGACCCCGTACCTGTATTTATACAGTTATAAAAACGCTTGCTTTCAATAGTATAATATAAAGGAAAACATTTGCAAATGTAAATATAATATATGAACATGAAACAAAATCCAAAACACAAAAAAATTACATAGCTAGCTGCTACATATGATAGAACAAAAGAATTACAATTAAGACAAGTACTGTTAGCTTGTGAATTTTTTTTTCAACCTTTATCAAAATTATCAACTACAATGTATTTTAATTAGCAAACCATATCATATGAAATTTAAAGAAGCTCTAAACAATACATGTGTATCAAGAAGTGGTCTGCAGACTTTCAATTAAGGAAAAAAATATCATATAAAGGTATGCACATTGAGACTATTAGTTCATTTTCCACAAGTACATGTACCTGCATTATTTCTACAAGAAAACCCTGTTGTTGACTATTGGGAAAATTAATGTGAATATTAATCAATTACTTATTCTTTGTCTAAGATAATGCTAGTAAAAATATTTTAATCTATTACAAATTGTGAAATAAATGGTAAGCAACCATTTTTTTTCTATCTGACTTCTAAGGGGAGATCACTCTTAATGTATTAAATTACTCCTTCAAGTAGAGCTCATTAGTGTGCTGTTAAGAGCTTCCTTAAATAATGACGTCACTGAGTCACTTAGAAATATGGTTGAATCTTGAGGATTTCCAGTATGGAGACACACATGAATATTCTCATTTCCAATTTCATCTTCAGGAAAATCACTCTGAAAAACCAGCTACATTGCTCCTCATTTGGGAAACTAAATTATCAGTAACAGACATCATGGTACTTTCTAAGGAAAAAATTTAATGCCATATCTCCAACTTTTAAGGCTTCATAGTTGTTTGGAGATTTTATGATATTCAGCTTTGCACTTTACTTTGAACTTCATGATGTTGCATCTCCACTTGTATATTTAAGATGACTTTTTTCTACCTGCAGAAGTAAATACAATTTTCAATATCTTCAAACGAAAACAAATATCAAACTGAATTAAATACATAATTAGATTAAATACATAAATGTAAAAGCAAACCCTATATCAAGAGGTGTTTTTCTAATGATCATTATGACAGTTGTTCAAATTTAACATGTTTTCTATGATACATGCATGTATTATTATGATTTTAAAAATCATTTTGATCTATAAAAGAGAAATGAGCAGACCATATACTACATGTAGAACTGTGTTTTTCTAACAATTTAGATTTGATTTTTGAAACTGCTTACCTTGAAGAGAAATGCATCTATAAGCTGTCCCAATTCCTGAAATTGTCTTTTCCAAAATTAACTTCAAGGTTTTATTTGAATTCTATTATAGCCATGATTTATATGTGTATATGTTCTTGTTCCTTTTCCTTTTCATCCTCTTTGGTGAATCCTTTGAAAACAAAAAATGAATATAATTCAATTTTTGTTAAAAATCACTAAATTCAAGATAAAAATTAATTAATTTTATAATAAAAATCAATCTATATATTAATTATTTTTCTGTCAACATGATCAAAAGGAAAGTCATATTATCCTTACAAAAATATGTACAGGTCAAGAACTATATAAAAGAGAGGTTAAGCAGATGACCGTGTACGTGTCACTAAGGAAATACCATATTTTTATGCGATTTAAGGACAGATGATACAAACAAATTTTCTTTGAAAAAGATTAATATCATGTCACAAGTTTAGAAATGTGAATGGTTCTTAGAATTTTTTCTCCGAAGAACTGGAAAATGAGATAGACTTGGAAAATATTAGTAATATTTCAATGAAAAAACAAATACAGACAAATCGCATTCAGTAAAGGTTTATAGGTGAAAACAAATTTCAGAATATGTTATCTTGGCGATTAAAGTGTAATATAAACTTAAGAAAAATATACCAAGCCAGGTGAATTTTATTAGGAAAAGCTAAATGGTAAAAATCAGCCATGTGATATAGCTAATTTTTTGTCATTTTGATCTTCCTCTTAAAATTCACCTGGCTTGGTATATTTTTCTAAAGTTTATATGACACTTTTAGCGCCAAGATAACATATTCTGAAATTTGTTTTCACGTGTAAACCTTTACTGAATGTGATTTGTCTATATTTGTTTTTTTATTGAAATATTACTTATATTTTCCAAGTCTATCTCATTTTCCAGTTCTTCGGAGAAAAAATTCTAAGAACCGTCCACTTTTCTAAACTTGTGACGTGATATTAAATATTTTTCAAAGAAAAAAATTGTTTATATCATCTGTCCTTAAGTCATCAGTTTTGCATACCCCGTAATTCTACAAGTTGTACACAATGTATAGATTTGCAAGTACACGTAGGTGAGAACTTGTAGCTTCTTAAACTCAAACTACAGAATATTTATTTTTCAGCTGGTGTTTGGAATGAATTTGAGTATTTATTACGTACATCCAATGTATCTTTTTTTATTTCAAGTCATAGATTTATTTGATACAAATGGATTGAAGTGTCGTGCTGAAATGATGTTTTACACATACCGGTACACATGCAGATTGTTAAACAGAACACAATGTAAAATCACTGCTAGGTTTACATGTAGAGGTAGACGTACACAGTAAAATGCTTAAACTCTCTATTGACAGAACTATTTACTTTTTGTTTACCGGTAATAATTTATATATAATAGGAGTATGTGTAATATATAGTATGGCTGTAATGTATACGGATTACTGTTATAAACAAAGATATTATCATGATTATACGGTGACCATGATTTTTCATCTTCAAATATTTTTATACACCTGTGTTTTTTTTTTCTTTTCTGAAAAGGGAAACTATCACTTAATGTTGAGAAGATTACATTGATTGTTATGTATAAAGTCTCTTAGTCTTCCAAATTTTTTAATACAAATATGGAGACCCACCACTTGCCGTTGGAGAGATACAAATTTTTTCCTATACTTGTCACTCACGACCATTGAGCAGTGAGGGATTTTTTTTGATTCCAGTGCCTACTGGCTACTGCCACATGGGACCTCAGTTTATATGATAGCATCCGAAGGGCTGCAGGCATGTTTACGAAGCTATCTTAGGACTAAGAAACGTCTTAGGATATACTTACGACAATTCGTAAGACTATGTCGGGTTTTCGAAAGTATCGTAACTTAAGAAAGTTCTTAAGAATAATCTTAAACTTACGACAGCTTTAGACCTATCTTAAGTCTATCGTAAGTAGAAATAGCAGCGTCAATGTTGTTGCTGGCTCGAGGAAATCGTCGTATCAGACGTGATTGAGAATTTAGGGCCTAAAGATATAAGAAGAATTCGAAATACTGATTACTAGTATGTCGGAACCGTTAACAACAGCTTTAAAAATTATATACTACTGTAATATACGGATTTCGTTAAATAAAATGTTTGATAAGACTATTAATTTTTGTTGATGTGTTTATCAAAACAACTTATGAAATACAGTTTGACTGATTAATGATATTGCGCTCTATTTCATTTAAAAGATATATTTATTTTCTAAGCCCCCCCCCCCTTTGAAGCTTCAACGCTATCTAAAAAATCATGAACTTTTGTATTGTGTATATATCAGGTGGTTTCTACAGATGTTGAATTATTACACAGTTATAAATGTACTGCATTTACACATGACACAGACGTCGCATTGATTTTGAAAATGGGGGGGGGGGTAGAAAAAGAATCCAACTAACATAGAAAAAGAATCTAACTTACATTTTAAAAAAACTTGACAAGCGATAAAGAACCCCGAACATTTTGTAGCTAAAATCTACAGGCACCTGACGTTACTTAATAAAAAAAAAATTTACACATACCTAATTATGTGTATATTTTTTTTTATTTCAAAAGAAAAATAAGTAACGTCAGGTGCCAGTGCAAAAATCTTATTTCGTGCTGGGGAGGAGGGGGGCTAAGTTCCAACTTCTTTAGTGACAAATTTTACTCGTACACTATTACATTACCCTTATTTTACTATACAACACAAATAGGGGGAAGGGGCGATCTTTCTATGAACATTTTCATTGGTACAATTTAAATAGTATGTTTCGACCTCCCTTCCCCCATGTTAAATATTACGTTCCTGTATGCATCTACTTTCCAAGAATATCCATGGTTAGAATTCTGATGACATCCAGTGCCTCATGCAGATGCACAATATACATAGTAAGAATATGTATCCTGTTAATTAACAGAATAAAATTTAATTTCACTTAACAACCTGAGAGAGTCGCGGAGTAAGGAGTTGATCCTTACGTCTCAGTCCTGTTCGAATCCCACTGTGGGATAAGGAGACCGGTCCTTCAGATAAGATCGTATAAGCCGAGGCCCCGTGTCGCAGTTGGTGGTGGCACGAAAAAGATCCCTCATTGCTCAATGACCTTAAGTCTCGAGAATAGGAGAAAATTTATAGTTCTCCACCGGCGAGTGGTGGCGTCTCCATACAAGTGAAAGATTCTCGAGAGGGACGTTAAATAATATATACAATCAATCAATCAATCTTAACCTATGAGAGAGAGAGATTTTTCTCTGTCATGAGAGTGTGTGTGTGTGTAAATGGGTTTTTCCAGGTGACCTCACAGGTGTTGATACCGCACTCTATGGCAGAGATTGGAGTATAACCAATTATTCCCACAATTTTTTTCTTGCGAATGAGTTAGTCTTTGGGGGAGGGGGCTCCTCCAGTTTTGCCTATTTCCTTCCGATTTGCTCTGCATTACGTTTCACGCAAGTAAATTGACGCACTTTTCATCGTTCAAGAATTCTGAATGATCCAATGGCACTCTAATTGATTTTAAATGTAACCAATATTACAGTATATCGTCGAGTTTAGATGATTAATAATTTAAAATATACAATTTATATTTATAAATTTTAAAAAACCCTTAAATTCTTTTTTTTTTTAATTTTCGCTCTTTTAAATATTTTCATTATGATGACATAACGTGTAGCATTATATATAGCAAAAGATTACAACTCTCTGATCCCTGACAATGGTTTTAAAAGCTTGGATTATTTCTATTTCATAATGATTTAAGACGTCTTAGCTTAGGATGATCATAAGATAGCTTTGAAAAACACCTTAAGATAATCTTACGATGATCGTAAGATTTTCTTAAGATATATCTTAGGAAATTTCTTATGAACAATCTTAGGAAAGTTTCGTAAACATGCCTGCTGGTCTCCACATCCCACAGTGGGATATGAACCTGCGATATAAGCATAAACTCCTTACTTTGCAATTCTAGAGCAGACGCTCTAAACACTGCACTGCGCAAGCGACTTAGAAGTTGCTTTCAAATATAGGCCTACAGCTTTCTACCTAGCCAAATCAATTGATTGTACTGGACCTGGTTATATAAAGAGATTGTGTCTGACCTGATTCATGTCTTCATGGTCTGCCATCAACATGTATTTCTATGTAATTATTTATGTAAATGAACCGGGGAGAGTCAGGACAGAGGTCCCTTCAGGTGTCATAATTTTCATAGCAGAGGAATCTCGGGTTACATGCATGCAAGCCAATAAAATGGATAAAAAAGTATACATACTTAGCATTTGTAATATTTATAATTACCTCTTGTCTTCTTATGTATTATATCTTGGCCTTTTTTCCTTCTTCCACACTGCCATTCCTCACCCCGGACCCGCTTTGATAAGTTTTCTCACCAAACTATTTATTTACCACTACAAGTGCCTACACATTGTACCTCCAAACGCTAGAGAGTAATCCAAGGGAAGTAATTTGGAAGCAAAAAATGCTTCAAAATGCAGAAAAAATGGATATTCACCTTTGAATTTCTTTTACACATATCATTTGCCCACCAATTTTTTAATTGTTTGAATATAACTAAATATCAACCTTTCATATTTTATTATTGCTTAATTTGTAGATGGCTGCATTTTTTTGTTTTAAGTCTGTAAAAACTGATCAAAATTTACTATATTTTTGACATATTGCAATGCATAACATGACCACTTACGAGTGTAAAATTAAAATTGAACTGTAAATATTGTTGTTTGAATCTCTAATATTGGATAACAACAATAAACATAAATTTAGATATCTCTGTTCATTTCTAGACATGGTTTTTCATGAAAAGTACAGATTTTCATGATTTACAAAAATGAAAAAGTTTGTATCCCGTTTCTATGGCAACCAAGTTTATAATTCAAATACTATTTTTAGATTTTATAATCACTCACACACCTGTATCAAATTATGATATAAAAATTTAAATCTGTAACTATGAGTGCCAAAATATTTTGGTGATTACAGAGAATTGGTCTTAAGTCTCTGGAGTCCATGAACCCTGTTTTAAAAAAAACAATCGCTAGAAATTTTACCTTCTGCATCTATTTAAATGGTTGAAGATCTGATATATGACATTTATAACAAATGTTGCATGAGAAGGCATGTTTTATCATTCACCTTATGAAAGGTGTGTAAAAAATTTATTTTAACAGTGCAATATCCATGGGCATTGATGATATCTATACCTGTCAAATCTTTTATCACTGAGGAAAAGAGGCGACGCAAACTTTGTAGAATATTAGGCAGATTCCTGACTTCCAGATCTTGGAAGTTCACTAGATATCTGTTTGCTGTGGTGTTAAATTTCCTCATTTTTTGTTCACCAATAGGAGTAACTCTATAGTTATCTCTAGGGTCATCCATCTTTGTAATTCGTCTTTTCGTTGAAGGTCCTGATTGAGGAGATTCGTTTGTTCTCTTTTTCCCTCTTCCGGATTGACCATGACGGTGATATCGATGCAATGCTAAATTATTCTCTGTTGTAAAGGCTTGAGGACAATCTGGACATTGATACAGATCATGCTTTTTTCTGTGCTGTGCAAGATTATCATCCCTTGCAAACCTTTTCCCGCAAACGTCACATCTGTAACCTTCCATTTCTATAATTAACAAATATGTTTATGTAAACTGTATCAGTTGTACCTGTTTTTTAAGGTTTGTAATTAAGTACTATACAATAATAATAGATTCGTTTTTATTTGAAATTTATTTCTAAATCATTGTTAGTAAATACAGATTTTCTCTCTAAAACAAGGTGGTAGATCTTTACGATACATATAATGGCACTTTTAAGAAATCTGATAGGTTGAATATTTTTAAAACGGTCACGTGGGAACGAGAATTGTAGTAAATTCCCTGCTTACTCTACCGAGCTTTTGAAAACACTATCGAGTCATGATAATATACAACAAAATAAATAAACAAGTTTATATCTTTCATATTTCATCAAATCAAGTGTAAAACTAAGAATCGCTATCTTTTCCAATTGAATATTTAGCAAAAGTATGTGTATAAATTTCTTACCTTAGAAAGAAATTAAATTCCAAAGAATAAAATAGCAACCGTGTTGATTTCCCGATGTTACTCATTAGGGTGCTGTATGATTTATGGCGCACCAGTATCTAGATTCCGTCTTATATATTATTCTATAGTCGTCATGGAAACAAACAGAAAACAAGTGAAACGATTGGTTACTTTATGATCATTAAAAGTATTAATTAATTTTAATTCCACCTGTAGTGGACCCCTCTATTGTGACTTGTCATACATACCGAAAATCATATTTTGTTTCCATAGAAACATATCAACTGAGCTCATTCTATTGGCTACCATGGTCATTGCACACATAAAATCACTCATTCAATTCATTTTTAACCTTTCGTGCACCCTCTTTGATTGTCTCCATCAATAGTTGTATTTTTCATCGTTTGTCGTCGTTTCTTTTATAAAAATCGGCCATCTGTATCTCTATTGAGAGATTAGCTATTGTATATTCCCCCCTGTAAAAATCTAGGTCGCACTGAACCTTGCGACCGTCTCGCTTGAGCGATTAGGTATTGAGTACCCTTTATAAAATCTAGGACGCATATACTTTAAGACGGATAAAAGATAAAAATGGACTGTACGTGTTGAGACATGTATATCTTTAGATTTATGATTGATGCACCATCCAAGCGTAAAGGAAAAGCTTGGGCTACATTTAATTAATCACATTCGCTTTATATTTGGTAGAATTATAGGGAGGGGGCTTATATATCAAAATTTCATAACTTTATTTCACTTCCCCTTCTTATCAATGTACTTTTACGCATGGTTGTATCAGTATTGTTACAACTGGTTGGGGATAATGGACTTTCAATTTACGGTGTGTGAATACACCAGACATTTAAATGCATTGAGACGTGTTTCGACATGTTATTTTTTGGTCACGGTGTGTAGATATATATAAACATGTTCTTACCTGTAGTTTTTTTTTCAATTGAATGAATCTCTCTCTCTCTCTCAATAAATCTTTAACCTATGGTGTATCTTTTTTACTAAACTTTTACAAGCATTTAAATGTCCAAGTTCATTGAGACATGTTTTTACCTGAATACCTCCGTTGCAAGGTCGAAATAGACATGTCTCTACCTTGTAGTATTTCGGTCGAGTAAATCTATTCAAACGAATTTTCAATAGAATCTTTAGTCATCTTTGCGTACGAAGACGAAGGTAATTTCCCTGTTTACGCCACGGAAAACTCCCAGTAAGGGCTACAAGAATCCCCTTTATGTATTGTGTGCGGTTCTATTATTTACAATCGTGAAATTTATCAATGAGCTGGTATTTAATTGCTGCTGGAACAAATAGTTGAGAAGGGGGTGAGGTTGACTACCCAGGACCGCATTCTACTCTTGGAGAAAATCCATTTGATATGTCACACTACGACCTTCTGGCAATTTTTTGATTTTGCACTTGATGATCCCGAAACACCCCCGGGATGATCTCTCCTCGTCGAGACCTTTTATTAATAGATCACACGACACCTTTTGAGTAGCTTTGATTTTGCACTTGATGATCCCGGACCACCCCCCGGGATGACCTCTCCTCGTCCAGACCTTTCCTTTGATAGGTCGCACCCTACCTTTTTTTTAAATTTGACCCTTGGACTAAACATGATTTAAAAATCTGGTTTTCCCGTCTATAGGGTCACGTGACCAAATATTCAAATGATGCCTTCTGATTGGTCGAAAGTTTGATGACGTCATTGGCGCGAAATTTGAATCGAGATCTATATGAGCGCCCTCCACTACTAGTAGTTATGTATGTAAAATTTTACATTTTGTGGTGGACATGAATTCGTGGGTCATTTCATACCTCGAAAACAACGAAAATTAACCCCCCACGAAAATTTGTGGTTTCACAGTATTTTTTCTCCATTTTGCAATTCTTCATTGAAATTGAAGAGGCATCTATATGTTTTCTTTATCCATTAAATATGCGTGTCATTTTTCATAAAACTCCGTAAGAAAAAAATGTCGCAACATAATGAAACCATCAATACATCTATATGTAATTTATCTTGTTTCGATTTTGTTGTTGTTGACAGGGCCACGTATTGTTAAAACTTCTCCCTCAACATTTGAAGTAGAAAATCAAAGGTAATTTTTTTGTGGTAAAATAAATATATGACGTCCAACCAGATTCTTAATTTTCTTTCCAAATGATCAAAATGAATCATTCTGTTCTGATTTTTTTAAATTTATATTTTTATTTTATTTGAGTTAATCGACTTCACTTTCTTTGTTATCCTTTAAAATATGACAGTAACCAGACTGTGAACCTAAACGACACCTCAGCTGAAAACTCCATCCAGGGGCGGATCCAAAAAGAAAAGGATGAGATAATGCTTTTAATGTATGTTGGTAGGTAAAACTATATTTTGCAGGACATACATCTTTTACCGGCCATAATTTTTTTTTAGGTCAGCTGAAATCAAAAATGTGCTTTCTGACCACCTTTGTCTGTCTACCTGTAAAATATCTTTCCGTTCTTTCTCCAATGTCAACTCACTCTAAAGTTTCCTGTTTCCTTGATTATGATTCAAGGAATTGTCAAGAATTCTTAATCGGGAATTAATCAAGAAATGGCGGGGGGGGGGGGGTCATGACTTTAAATTTCTGTTGCCCAAGAACCTCTGATACAGAACTTTTTGTTAATGTATCATGACATACTGAAGAATTACGATTTTTCAACAAGTTTTACATGGGAATACATTGGGGAAAAAATAATAAAATATTTTTAAGAACAGTCAAACCGTGATATTATAATAATTTGGAAGAAACCTCAAGAAGAATAAAATCAATTTTCAAAATTCAATTTAATTCATGTCATATGTGCTCATTTTTTAACAAATAAATGTAATATTAAAGTGGAAAAAATCTTATGAGCAAAAGTAGGGTCAGAGTGAATAAGGTGAGCGTTGTGGCACATGGACATTTTGCAGACTTTAGGTATAAGCATTATTTCGTGTCTTTCTAAAGACTTTAAGTTGATTGACAAAAGGAAGGATTTCATTGGTTGTACATGTATATTGTAGAATGTGCGTGGGCGGTCCTGTTATTCGTTGCCATGGTAATTTATTTTCCGAACAAGCCACCACTGCCTCCAACAAAAACAGCGGCCATTCCTCGAATCGAGTTCAAAAACGGACTAAAGAAGATCCTGAGGTACTTTATCATTAAAAGAACCTATTGTATAATAAATCTGTCAGTGTGGGAGAGGGAGAAGCACTATACAATTATTTTTCCAGTTCGTTGTAAATGCATGGATGTTGTAAACCAAAAAGCAAAGAAATGTTTATAAAATGTTGACCCTCTTAATGATAATAATTATAAAGTTTTGTTCACTTCCATTTTTTTATCAGTTTTAGTACGTTTTTCAAGGAATTTCTGTTATTTACCCCTCCCCCATTTTATTAAAATGCCCCCATGTACAATTATATGTAACTCTAATTAATAAATTTCTATATCGTACTTTTTCAACCAAAGGCTGTTGCTATTTAATTTATCAATCTTTTCTTTAAAGACTTCGTGAGTTTTGGGTCATAGCAGCCATATACAGTGTGTCAATGGGAGTCTTCAATATTTGGCAAGGTGTTCTGGATGTCTACTTAAAACCGCATGGATTCAGCCAGGTCAGTGCACACTAAGTTATACATGTACAGTATGTATAAGATTTGTTGGACATCGAACTTTTCAGAGCTATATAAAGTTGTCTCTTTTATTAATTTGTTCTTTTGTTCAAACATTAACTATTCTGGTAGATTTCCTTGTTAACATTAATTAATATATCATTATAATACATATTGTACAAAATTACATGTATCTATATTTATCTGCAAAATGACTGTATATGTACTTAAAAAAAATCATCTTTAACTGTGATATTTATCTGCAAAATGACTGTATATGTACTTCAAAAAAAATCATCTTTAACTGTGACAATTAAATTTATATATTAGATATTGTATATAAAAATTATTGATTGCGATGGGTTTAGGAATTGTCTTCGACCCTCGAACCCCCCCCCCCCCCCCCCCCCCCCCACCACCACCACCAAAAGCAAAAAACAAAAAACAACAACAACAAAAAACTAAGTTTGTAACTCACTTTCCACGGATTTCGACATGGTTGTTAATTAAAATTCCATGGAAGTTGAAGCTTTAATATTTCCATTTCCAATTGTTTTCTCTATGATAAACACTACAAAAGTGTATCTTGTTAATTTCATGATAATACCCTGTGGTATGTATATTTCTCTATTACTGAAAGGTCAGGTGTCAACCTGCATGTATATCACTGGCGTATAAATATACTCAAGAAAAAATAGATGTTTTGTTTAATTGTTTACTAAGTAATTTGATATGATATATCTTTTTAACAAACAAAATAAATAATGAATTATCTTCGGCTCGAAAGCAAGTCACTAGTGCAACGCTGTCCATTATCACTGAGGCCTCGCGAGACCGAGAACTCCACTTCCTGGTAAACAGCCACGTGGAGAAATTGACATTGCCACATGGATCTGCACGTACGCCATCATCTGATACAGACATCGTCCCTTAGTCATTACCATCCGACTTCTTAAGCAACTCAACTTCTTCTGTTATTATAACATCCATACAAATCGGTTTCCTGACCATACTGACCAGCTCCCGTTTCATCAACTGCGAAATTGCATTCAATATGGCGGCGGAGAAGTGACATAGTGCTGATATATGTTCGTGCTTCCGACAACCTAAATCTAGGTCACATATATAATTAAAGTCAACAAGATTTCTTTGATCGTCATTTAAAATTCTTTTGTTGTTTATTTTATAAATGTTGATATTTGACTACGGTAAATATAAATAGTCAATAAATTTGTTTCGTGTTTTTGGGACTATTTTTTATAGTAAAATTTGACGTCATGGGGCCTTGTGCATTTCAAATCTACTCAATTAGACGGTATTTCGATTTATTTTAAGATGGTTATTTCAAGTAAAAATGGAAATATAAGGAATCACTGTCTAGTTTTGAGGGTATGCCAGGGACATCAACAATAGTGGGAAACATGGGATAATTTTAGCATAACGGGCTTCGCCCGTTATGCAAATTATCCCATGTTTCCCACTATTGTTGATGCCCTGGCATACCCTCAAAACTAGACAGTGATTCCTTAACTCAATGCCTGTTTACTCAGGTGAGCGTTGTAGCCTTTAGTGTTGTTTGTTCTCTTTCAGGACCGGGCGGCCTGGCTGGGGGCGTCTTCGATCATGGCTGGATTTGTGTCTAGTGTTATAATCTGCAGGTCTGTCTTGTCACTTCATAAAAAGTCAGCCCCAAGGGGGGTATTTTATTGATATATCCTTTTAGATATTTTGGGGCATTCGACCTCAAGAGAGAACCTGTCATTTTTTTCCTAGATGATCAGGACAGTTTAATAATTATTTTGTTAACTGAAAAAGCATGGATAGAGGGGTAGGGGCTTGTAAGGTCCAGTCAAGGTCGGGGTTATTTTTTCGCCATCTGAGGACAGTTTTTAATTTGCAAACTTTTAAGCCCTTCCATATAATCAAATCTTTTTGTTCCCCGCTTTCGCAAAATCGATGTGACATTAAATCTCATTCGTATGTCCGTCCGTCAGTCGTTAACCTTGTCCGTCTGTCACTTGTAAAGCATATTTTTTCAATTAGAAGAGATAGGACTTTCATATTACACATGTGTATGTATTACCTATAACAAGACCTTTCTAAATACACTATGATTTTTGACCTCGTGACACTGAAGTTTGACCTACTTTTCCAAAAATTAACAATACTTTAAATTGGCCATAACTTTTGAATAAGAGATAGTGCTTGCACATTAATTATGTTTATTACCTGTGACCTTTATAAATATACTACATGATTTTTGACCTCATGACCTTGAAGTTTGATCTACATTAACCTTGGTCATAACTTTTGAGTGAGAAGATAATTAGAAATAATGTATCATTTTAAAACATTTATCGGGATATGAATACGGGTTGGTCACGAGATTAAATTCCACAAAGCCCGAATAATGTATCATTTTAAAACATCTATCGGGATATAAAATCTCGTACCAACCCGTATTTATAGCTCGATAGATGTTTTAAAATGATATCTTATTACTTATATTTACATTTGTGACTTATTCATACTTAAATTTGCCTGATTGTGACTTTTAACGTGTAAGATGCATTATTTTTCAAACCCAAGGGCATATGTATGTAATCCACTGAACGCGCGTCAACCCTTTATGACGTCACTGAGAAATTACGTCGAACGTTATCCATACGCACATCTATGACCTCTTGACCCCGTACCTGTATTTATTTAAGGAGGAACAGTACCTTTAGCTGAAAAAATTCCTGTCAATGAATTTTTTTCGTATTTTTAATATTTCTAATTTAATGTGTACTTAACATTTTAAAACGGTCCTGTCATGGGATTTCTTGACTTATTTAAAAGATATAGCCCCACAAATACCGCCCTGTTTAGAGTTTGTATGGAGTTTAGATACTTCATGTTTACAGGCCCATAACGGATCGAGTCCATAATGCGAATTTTTACGCACAAACGATAAATATGATAGATAACACTATATACTCAAATATTTCATAATATTCATAGTATTTAAATTATCTGAAAGCAATTGTTTTAATTTTATTTAGTATTTGGGTGGGATAATTTCTGCATTTTTCAAGGCAGCTTCAACGACAAAAACTGCATTTGGAAAAAATTCTGTCAATAAATATTTCTAAATTTACGGTTGAATGTCAGCCCTTCATCGTAATTATTTACTGCATAAATATCACAGGGCGAAGCTTACCTCAATATCGCACAGGACATCGTTGAATTAGACGTAAGCATGATAAAAACGCTTCACGTTTGTATTTTCCGAGTGCGGGAAATCAATTGTGACGTCACACGAAAATATAAACATTCAAAATTATCTAAATAGAGAGAATCTCTGCTACTAAACACGAAAAAATATTAATTTTAAAAAATCTGCTTCAGAAATTTATACGATACATTGACTGAGACCTGTTTATTATGAAATAAAACTGATCATGACGGGTGTGTGTACTGGATCTCGCTGCACTGAGAATTCAAACACTACGTCTATGACGTCACTGACGTCAGACTGCACGGTAAAGAGAAACAAATGTGTGGATTGGGCAACTTCACAATATCTAAATGATGGCAAGATCTTTGAAAAAAAATATTAATAATAATTTCTAAAATTAAATGTTTGAAAAACAATTTTAGAATTTAGAATAAAATTACACAACTGTTGATTTTAACAAACATATTATTTTAAAACATGTATATCATCACCGATTATGACGTGATATGTCTTTTTAGTCATGTGACATGTGTCCTGTCTCCCCTTAAGCATTCGGCACGGCCAGGTGTGTTATAGGACCGAAGACATCCAAAAATATTAATTCAATGCTTATATTTACATTCTTTAATTTTCATTCTTCATAATTGCTTATTTTGTTAATCTCAAATGTGAATTTAGTGTCCTTCAAAACTGCCGTGGATAATAGATGAAAGAGCCGTTTGTGACGTCAAATGACGTTAAATGACGTTGCACAGTTAAATAACGCAAACAAACATTGCGAGGGAAAAAAAGTGACAAATCAATTCTTTTAAAATGCACATTACGTTAATTTTCAGGTTAATTTTTTAGGGTTATAGTTTTTCATTAAATTGAAATAAAACATTTTACATTTTGGTGTTCTTTGAGTATTGAAAATGTAATAGTTCCTACTGTGTATTCTAACGCGCGGTGACAAGGCGTGTGTTATAGAAATTTGAACGTCGTGGAATTCTAATGGATTTAGGAAAATTACACTGAATGTAAATATACAGTTATAGATACGCATTGCTTTCAATAGTGTTATATAGAGGAAAACATTTGCAAATGTAAATATAGGGCTTTCACACTTTATGTATATATTTCCTGTGACGAAATCTTTCTAAACACACTATGATTTTTGACCCCCATGTCCTTGAACATTGACCTTTGACATATTTTTCAAAAATGTTACGTGATATTTCATAATCACGGGTGTTGAATGAAGTACAGTTGAGTTGGGCTATATCTAGTTAAAATCATCCAGCCAACCGAATAGCTAAAATTGGCCCGACTCATAATTTTTCTTTACCTTGAAGAGAACGCTATTTTTTTATTCATGATTTTTCTTATCCTGTTTAAAAATAAAATAATTATGTTGGAATTTTCATATTTATCTTTTTCTACTGTACTGAGTCATGCAGGAGAGGGCAAGCAAATATTATTGTTCCCCGCTTTCGCGAAAGCGAGGGGACATTAAATCTCATTCGTCTGTCCGTCTGTCTGTCCGTCCGTCCGTCTAGCTGTCCGTCCGTCACAAAAACTTTAACCTTGCCCATAACTTTTGATTTAGTGGAGCTATGACTTTCATATTTCATATGTGTATTCCTTGTGACAAGACCTTTCTTTAAGTACCACCAAATTTGACCTTTTGACCTTGACCTTGGAGTTTGACCCACTTTTATACAAAAATTTCCAAACTTTTACTTTGGCCATAAATTTTGAATGGCACGTACTAGGACTTTCATATTTCACATATGTATTTTTCGTAGCAAGACCTTTTATTGGATACCAACAACTTTGACCTTTTAACCTTGACCTTGGAGATATCCGTACTTATGCAAAAATCTTAACCTTGACTATAACTTTTGAATGGTAAGGGCTAGGGATTTCATTTTTCATATATATAATTCTTGTGAGAAGACCTTTCATTGAATACCAGAAACTTTGCCCCTTGTACCTTGACCTTGGAGTTTGACCTAATTTTCGAAAACTTTGACCTTGGCCACAACTTTTGATCAGTAGATACCATGACTTTCATATTTCACATATGTATTCTTTGTGGCAAGACCTTTCGTTTCGTACCAACAACCTTGACCTTTTGACCTTGACCTTGGAGATTTTTTGTACTTATGAGAAAACTTTAAACTTCACCATAACTTTTGAATGGTAAGGGCTAGGGCTTTCATACTTCACATATGTAATCCTTTTGAGAAGACTTTTCATTGGATACCAAGAACGTTAACCCTTTGACCTTGAACTTGGAGTTCAGTGATAATTACTAAATAGATGACTTACGAAAGGGCTTTCATATAAGACACAAAATGTCATTAAAAAAATGACATTTCACCAAAAAAGACACCGAAAGCGGGAGACCACAATTCTTTGAATTCGCTTGTTTTTAATTAAGATGGCCTTGCTCTTCACTTTTTAAAGATTTGCGGATATATTCAGTCGACATCTTCGCTTTTTCCTGATTTGTATGTACTCGGTTGGGGGAGCGGCCTTCCTTTGGTTTGTTTTATTGGTAGAAGACGCAGTGCCAGACTCCGAAGGTATTATGTATATCATTTTGAAAATAATTACGTGTACATGTATTTGCTTAAGAAAACTGTTTACCTTTTTTTTTTACATACTCAGACTTGTTTAAATGCACCCGATTTTCTGCTGTTTAAGTTTCAATAAAACAAAGACAAGCCTCGGACAACGAGGTACAATCCGCGATGATCGAAGAGCTATTTTGCCAAAATATCATTAATGTTATAGAAAAGGAATTTCAGCATGTTGTCAAAAATGACAATTGAACAATTAAAGTTTTGTGCAGTTCTATGCCCCCGTTTTCGAAGATTTGGAGACATATAGTTTTTGAATTGTCTGCCTTTTTGTCTTTTGAATCCGTAATGATGGCCGTAATCTCTGGACAGCTTAAGCTAGGGGTTTCATATTTCACATTTCATTCCTAGTAACACGTAAGGCATTGCTAAAAATAAGTACCAAATTTTCTATCTCATGACCTTGACTTTCGGACTTCGACCTACTTCCAAAATAACGGTCACCTTTGCCGTGAGCTACCGTTAGAGGGGGGAGGGGGAATCGATCAGATTACAGAAACATATATGTATTTCGTTTCTGGTTTCAGTATCGCTGTACATTTCCATTATTCTGGGCACCCTATGTCTCCAGGCATCCACCCCGCTGTACTTTGAGATGGCGTGTGAGGTTTGTTACCCCGTGGCCGAGGGACTGACCAATGTCCTCCTCACTATTCTGGTCAATCTGTCCAGCTTTATCTTCCTTCTCCTACACATGATTCCAAACATAGGTAAATACATGTATATACATATATGTAAACGTACATGTAAACAAACATGGATAAAGGAATATATAGGCAAACAAAAGAAAAATAAAACATGTATGTACACTAATGTATGTTTTAAAACACCTGTAGGTGCATTTCATATTAATTTCAGGTAACATGGTTTTATGTCAAGGTATTTGGAGAATCAATATTTAATAAAATATCAATCCCAAACAATATTTACACATAGATGTGGCAAGAGACTTACTAATTTACTTAGTGTCTCTAATATGGGGATTTGAGTTCAGTGTTTCCCGTCATCTTTTCTAGATGTACATGTATTATAAACTCATCAAAACAAATAACTGAAAAATTTTATTGACAAGTTAACAAAAATAAGTTCTGTGATGGTTTCTTTTTTATAAGTATACTATTGAAACGTATTTCTTAACAACAATGACGCTATTTTCACTTTGTCTGTCTGTTTGTCTGGTTGTGTGTGTGTGTGTGTGTGTGTGTGTGTGTGTGTGTGTGTGTGTGTGTGTGTGTGGTTTGTGTGTGTGTGGCTTTCAGGTTCGGCGTGGGAGAATTGGTGTTTGTTAGCAGTTATCGCCCTTTGTATTCCGTTCATGTGTTTGTTTAAAGACAGTTACAACCGATCTAATATCGACGAAGAAAACGAGAAACTTTGATATTGTCTTTTTTTAAATCAAAAACTTTTATTACAGTTTTTCGAGCCGCTGGAAAAATTACCTGCATAATTTTGAATCGATTCTTTTAACATGTTTAAAGCATTTTAAATTGATCCCCTTTTAGTGAATTCAATGACATTTTTTAACGTCAACGCAAAAAAAAAATTAACAAAAACACCGTTTTTCCCTGGTGTTTAGTTTATTCTGAATATAACTTTGGACAATACAGCCCATCGGTTTACAAAAACAGCAACATATCTATTACAAAAATGACGACTTAATGTTACCTACCTTTTTTTTCTACGTGATATTATTAAAGCATTTGTTAGAATAAGGTTGTAATTTTAATTTATACCATTTAATTAATTTCAAAATCTGAAATTATAATCCATGTCACATAATTATGCTGTCACGGAAAGTGAGTTATGCTCATTGTTTGACTTAAGTAGTGATTGTTACGTCATAACTCAATTTTATTCGTTGATCAATTAATCCCGAGAAGTAATCAGACCCGAGACCGACAGTCGGAGGACAACAGACTGAAAAGTTGTTCTTTGGGGTAAATTATATTAAAACCAGATGGTAAGTGATCTCTCGTTCGTTTTAATAATCAATTGAATTTTTCATTAAGATTGTCACTGAATTCGAAACTGTATTTAAGTCTTCAAAATTTAAAGTCCCGTTAGAATATTTTAAAAGTAAATCAAAGGCACACAACTGCCCAATATTCTTTCAATCATGTACTAAAAACAAGGTTTTATTATTCCTTGTTCATTTTTTAATTGCATGCCGAAATATAATAAAAAGCGATGTATACGTTTGTTAGGAAAACTATAATTGAAAATTGTTCGATGACTGTGCATATTTTAGACAATCTTGTCGTCTATCTGATCACTGCCTCGTCTTACATGTACATTAACTAATGATTATGTCAGATACCCTTGTGTTTTTTTTTGTAAAGAGTATACAGAGATTTTAACTATTATTTAAAAATATAACTATCAAATAATTATATCATATAAATCGTTGAAAGTTAATTAATCTCATTTTCTGAAATATAGAAACAAGTAGATTATAACCAGATTATCTCAGACAATCAAGTTTTCAAGGCTGAATTGGGGGATGATTGAGTATTGAATTCCCTTATTTACCATGTCTTTGTGAAATCGCCAATGTTTAACTTTAGAATTATATTTTTGTAAGGTTTTTAAATTATCCTTACACAAAGAAGATAAACGTATACAAGTACAAGTAAAGTTCTGACCGGGGAATTTAATATTGAACAGCAACCATAAAAAGGCCTTTTTCGCCTCGAGTTGCTATAAAACGGAAAAATTATGGGTTTATAGTCCAATCCAGCCTACAATCGTATTAATACTGCAAGAATTGTAGAATTTATGACGGGTAGCGAATGAAGTATACACAGATGCCAGAAATATGAGTCTGAATTCGGAGTCCGGAAAATCGACGACGAAGACTTGTGGAAATGTCAGGGAGGAATTCAGGCTGCAGAATCTGGGATTTAGTGGCAGTCGTAGCAGGAATTTTGTGACGTCACAGGTAAGTGATGAGCTGAAAATATCAAGGCTAAATCCATGGACCCTTTTCATTCTAAACTGCATGGGCAACGTAATACAGGAGATCATTGAGAATTGGAGTAGTTAAATGAGCTGCAGGTTTAAAAGTACAGAAAAACGAATTTCATTATATATTAATTACTAGTATATATTACAATGCTTAAATTCGTACTGTTTATTGGAAATCTTTGATTTTATTTCTTACATGTCAATAATTCTTTTTTCGATTAACTTTACTTGTAGTATAACATTTTATATTATGATAAACATGTTTTGGTGAATTCAATTTTATGACTTGATTTTCAAGAAACAGTGCTTCCAGCAACAGCCCTTCTTCCCCGTATGGACTACATTCTGGGCCTTATTTCACCTGGTGGTCATTTGTCTACAATTTTACTTCGAAGAGGACCACCCAAATCCAAAATGGCTATCTTTCCTAACAAACTGGGGCTACACCCTTCTGGCTATGTTCTCCATTTTGGACTGTGTTGTAACTTTATATGCCAGTATTTCAAATAAGGAACTACTTCGAATTGGTATGTATCCAAAGAATTTCTAAAAAAGTAAGCATTCGACAATTTAAGTGCTTTGATACATGTCTGTACATATGTATGCATCTTAGTAATTTTATGGTGACATTGACGTTACTAATGATAAAGAGAAATTAATTTTAAAAAGCTATCGCATTTATGTAGTTTATTTCGACTACACCGGAATCACTCGTATTTACTGTGTATGTACATATGTGAAGAACACACTGCAATTTTGATGCTTTTTCGTAAATCTTGATTTCGTTTGAAAATTTTGCAAACGCTTGAAAACTGAAACCAACCGTAATTTAGAAAACATCATTAATTTAGTAAATGTTGAGCTTGATAATATACAATCCGCTCTTTCTAACATAATAATAGAGCTCCTATGTATTTTGAAGGACGTTGAACGTATCTAAGTGGTACTTTGAACACTATACATTGCATTCATTTGTAAGATCGCGTTAGAATTTTCTTTTTTAAGTGTATTGCTTATCTTCAGAGACAAGCTAATGACGCTTTTAAAATAAAAATCACAAGTTTGTTTACTTACCTTAAAAACATCAATTCGCGAGTGAAGGAGGAATTCGATATTTGATTAAATTCCGAAAAAGTACAAGATCACACTTTTCATTGCGTGCAAAAATAAAATTTAAAACTTACGGCAGGTTTCTAATTATTGATTTAGTGTCAGATTACGTGAACGATTTAAAAATATTTTAAATTTCGGCAAGTTAAAAAAAAAACACCCGGGAGGTTTTTATAGCACGTGAAGAATTATGTAAGAGAAAAATTCAAATCCTATGATTCTGCAAACCCACATGACCACGGATATATATTTTAAAACATAGAATTGTTTGAAAAAAAGATAAGGTCTGTCAGAATAAAAAAATTATTTGATAAACTACATGTGTATCACAATGGAGTATGTTAGGTGCATTCGCACCAATTTAAAAACACACTTCAAAGTATTTAGTCTGAATCAATTTAATTTTAAAAAATTCTGGGGATGTAAAATTGTGTTGTTTTTATCTGTTTGCAAGTATTATGTATAGCCATTGCTTGTTTACATGGTTCGAGCAACTGTTTGAAGTTTTTTTTTTTTTTTGAATCCGAAGGACTGGAAATGAGGGGATTGATGGATACAGATGATTCAGCTGGTTGTCAACTTTATACAAAATGTTATGTTATCAAAACCCAATAAAAAATTCGAAGTCTGAAATGGGATTTCTCCACACTCCCTTGTATTTCAAGATATCTCACGTTACGATTCTATACATATTACTCTGATCCAAAAACTCTTTATTGAAAACTAAGATTAGGCGGAATGACAAGACTTTAGCCATGTAAATCTTATATTTTTACCACACAAATTCAACAAAATACAAATTATTGCTCAAAGGGACATGTACATTCAGTGCCACATCCTCTTAAGCTACAATCTACTTCTTTTTTTCAGAAAACGACGATTTACCTTGGTTTATGAAGATACAGTGGATTTTATTCAACGTTTCCACAGTAACAGCTCTTGTGATAACGCTGCTGTTTTATACACTTTTGACACCAAGTGAGTAGCCAAAATACCAGTCAAAATCCCTGTTACCCCATGCGAAGTGTCATCTCTCCAGGTTATGTGTGTGTGTGTGTGGGGGGGGGTTAAATTTGACAAAAAAAGAAAAAAAATATTAGTACATGTACATGTATGAAGTTTCAAATAGTTTATTTAATGAATTCTTATAGAAATTGCCACTTCTATCGCTGGTGTGGATCCATCTGCGCTACGCGGAGTGTGTTACTTTGGATTAGATCGTAAAAATCGAGGTCGTATGTCGAAATCCATAAGCCTATATATTTATACATAAGCAGTAAATGTTTGTTGCCGTTAGGACAGAAAAAATCAAAACCAGCGTTTACAGGCGCGTTATGTATTTTTTTTTCTGTAAAGCTTACACTAATTTCATTCAAACAAAAGAGACAAATAGATTTCATTTTTTAAAATGTCTTCAACTTCAGCACTAAAAAGACCCAGAAACATTGATTTTATGATCATTGATATTACTTAGGATTTACTGCGTGGTCTCATTAAATATTAAACGTTCCTCATATCTGAAATAGTTACCGTCAAGGGAATTTTCTATATACAGTAATTTCCACATAATAAAATAAGAAGCAAATGCTCCTTCGCCAAGCGCTCGGCACTTTGAACGCCAAATGAAATATAGCGGCTCATTCGGATGCTATTAGACCTTTAAAAAGAGGCCAAAAGTCAAGGTTGGATTTGCTCCTACTTTCATTTTCTAACTGATTATCTCTAAATTACGGAAGCCGGTAGGTTGGAAAATAGGTAGATATTTTATCTCCGCCAGTTAAAACATTGTTAGCTCGCCTCGACCTTGTCGTAATGAGCCTATGCTAAACACCGGCGTCGGCGTCTCTGTTAAAGTTTTAGGAGCAGGTCCATTCCTATGGATGATGCATTTGGGGATTGACACTACCAAGTGTGACCAGGTTAGAGTTTTTGGAGCAGGTCCATTCCCAAGTAACTATAAGCCCTATCTGATAATGCATCTAGGGATAGACACTACCAGATTTGAGTCGGATGCTGGATCTGACCTATTTTCCAGATGAGTTACCAGGCTCATGTTTTTGGAGTATCTCTGTAATTTTATGGCCTGTTATGATTTAACTTGCATGGATGATGCATCTAGGGATTGACAAATGCAGACTTGGTTTTGATGTAGGGGAAAAAGATATTTTCTTCATTAGTGATTTTGAAACAGGGCAACTCCCAATGATTTATAACTTACATAAACAGAACTTGCATGAATATTGATATCAGGACGCTGACTAACTATAAGGAAAATATAATGTGAGATTTGAAATATTTCAACTAATAACATTCGTCGAGGTGAGCTTCGTAATCTTTGATTACATATGTTTTTACTTGGCACCAACTAGCTTCAATACTAAATACATATTTTCTTTATTTTATTCCAGACCTTACTGCCAACAGTATACTGACGCATGCTGTGAACTCTGTATACGCTCTATCTAACCTCACGTTATGTGCCAAACCTGTGCGGATTCTCCATGTGTACCAGCCGGTCACGCTCGCCGTTTTGTACACAGTGTTTTCTGTGATCTACCACCAAGCCGGGGGCGGATCAATCTACGATATTTTAGACTGGGACAAAGTTCAAAATACTGTACTTTTATCGCTCGGCGTTGTTTTTATAGTTGTGCCTTTGATTCATTTAGTCTGTTTTACTATTTATAAATTACGAGTGTTCGCTTCGAAATCATGTTGTCTAGGGAAAACTACTGTTAACATCAACGACAATGGTGGATCAAACCATTCTGAAAATTCTGATGCTTCAGGGAGGAGTGGCAATGTTGCTTAACTTGATATTCCTTATCTCTATTTATAAATTGCGAGTGTTCGCCTCAACTTCTTATTGCCAATTGGAAACCATTGGCGATATAAACGACGATTGCAGGTTTTATCATTTCTACGGATTCAGGAAACGTTGCTCAGGTTGATGATGCAAAAAAGATGCATTTTAGTTTATGTAATGCATTTCATTATATTTAGGATGTATGTAAATATCTTTAAACTATTTATTGATTTATGATGTGACATACATGTGAGTTGTTCCACCGATATTGGAAATCCAAATAAAGGTACATAGACACAGATTAGAAGTTAAGATTTTCTTAAATTCTCTGTATATTTCTACTTAGTAATAATTAAAATTATAATGTGTGAAAGTGCAAGGATGTGTCAATCAAACCCGTCCAGAAATTCGAAGTTTCAATAATTTCGAGATGAAAACAGATATTCGTTATATTTTCATGTGAAATTTCTATTGCAATACAGTAAAACACGGTTATAGCGAAGTCCTGGGGACCAGTGAATTTAATTCGCTATATCCGTAATTCGTTATATCAGTATAACGAATTCGTATAATCATATATAGCGAATTCGCAATATGCATGTTTTCCCTCAAGTATTACTACCAAACATGTTAGTGAAGCAAATATTACAAAACATACCTTAGATAACTAAGGTTTTGTTATTAATTGAATTCTATATACAAAAGCTAAAAGAAAATAAAGACAGTTCAACCTATCAAATTTTGAGATCTTTGAAAGTTCGTTATAAAAGATGTAAATTTCATTATATTTAACCTCAATGGGACTCAAAATCAGTTCGCTATATCCATCAATTCGTTATATCAGAGTTCGTTATAACCGTGCAATTTTACAAAGATTTGTTAAGAATTTTGCCGGGGAACTAGAACGACTTCGCTATATCCGTGAATTCGCTATATCCGTGTTCGTACTAAATGTGTTTTACTGTACTCAGTATTGCAATAGAAATTTCACATGAAACTTGAAGTACTGTGAGCAATAAGCTCACTAAATTATACCCCGCCTCCCATATGAATAACGGGAGTGTCCAGGTTTTCTTGTGGGACACCCAAAATATGTGTCAGATCAAAAAGTAAAATAGGAGGTCACAATGGCAATACTAGTATGTAACGAAGATTCTGTAAAAGTTTCATCAATCCTTCAGTGATATGAGAGGAGTTGCGGATAAGAGATGGGTACCTCAAAGCGTAACAGACAGACGGACGGACGGACGTACAGACAGACGGGCGGACATACTGATTACTATATACCATCCCGCTTTTCAAGCGGGGGTATAAATATATAAGTCGTGATATTGTACAGAAAATTTGAAATAACATTAACTTCAAATCTGTGACTAAGCACCTTTAACTTTACACATAACTCCTTCTTTTATTATATAATAAGTTTTTACAAGTGAATTTAATTCATTTTATTATTAAACATTATAGCAAATGAAATATTGCATGTTGCATTTTTTAAGGATTGGGGAGTTTTAGTCATTCTGACCTACATTTTCCAGATGAGTGACCATGTTAAATTTTTTGGAGCATGTGTATTCCCAATTAGCTATATGACCTACCTGGATCAAAATTAGAGAATTGATGCATCTGGGGATGGACTCTTCCAGATATGCTTCGGATGCTGGATATGACCTACATTTTCCAGATGAATAACCAGGTTAAAATGGTTTGAGCCTCTCCGTTCAAAAGTAACTAATAGTATATGCCCAACCTCGACCAAACTTGCAAGGATGATTTATTAAGTGTTCGACACTTATATACTTGCTGCGAATGCTGGACCAAACCTTCATTTTCCAGTTGAGTGACCAGGTTAATCCTTTGAAGCAGGTCCTTTCAAAGTAATTTAACCAAATTTACGTGGTTGATGCACCAAGGGATGGTGACTACCAGACATGTTTCGGATGCTAGATCTGGCTTATATTTTTCAGATGAGTGTCTGTAGATCAGGCCTATTTTATGGCCTTCTTTAACGCAACGTACATGAATGATACATCTAGAGATGGACTCTACCAGACTTGTTTCGATACTTGATATGACCTATATTTTCCAGATGAGTAACCAGCTTAAAGTTTTTGAAGCAGCTTCGCAAAGTAGCTGTAAACTCTAACTGGACAATGAAAATTACATGGTTGATGCATGCATCTAGAAATGGACCCTACCAGACATGCTTCGGATGCTGGATCTGACCTTTATTTTCCAGATGAGTGACCAGATTAAAATTTTTGGGGCAGGTCCTTTTCAAAGTAACTTAACAACCAAACTAACGTAGATAATGCATATAGGGATGGAAATTACCAGGCTAGATTTGGATGCTGAGTTTGACCTACATTTTCCAGATGAGTAATCAGGGTATTATTTCTGATGTAGATTAATAATTATACGGCATATTATTATGATTAGACTTGCACCCAAGGGTGGTCTTTTGCCAATTTTGATCTTAAAACAATTTTAAATGGAACCTTAAATTGGCATTTTCTTATTATGCATTTCACCAAGGTGTTTCTTTTCACGTTACATTCTTAAACATTTATTCATTGACTCTCTTCCTAAGTGCTGATTGATTAAAAAACCCAAATGATGACAATGTGTTATTACACAAAGGAATAAACAATCGCCGTCCAATTAAATCGTAACAAGCAAAACTAGTAAGATTGAATCGGTTTAGCCTTTGTGTTCTAGTACAAATCAAAGTTTATAGGAAACTTGCACGTATTTAGGATGTGTGTGTTTGTGTCTTTGACTCCGCCCCCGACCAATCAGCTGTAAAAAAATCAACCAATGAAACGAGGTGTTGCTTTAGGCCGATGGGAATGTTTGATTCAAATAAATAGCGAAAAGAAACACAGATACCAGAGGTGAATCAGGTGCCTAGGGGGCATAAGTACATGTACTTCCTGTTTACTGGTTACACCCGCCGTTAGCCTTATCTGTTGATCAAGTAGACGGAACACTCCATAGTCAAATTCAGTTTAAAAACAAAGCTTTACCATTGGAATTAAACAATTCAGCTAAAATACGACCAGTGATGGATTATATACGAGGGGTGATCAAAAATTTCGCAAACTAATTGAATAACTTCAACAAAAGAAATGATTTAAAAATTCATTGTTGAAATTTTTTCAATATGAAAGTAGTCCTCTCTGATTTTAATGCGCATCTGTAACCGTTCTGCCCATGCGCGGATCACGTGATAAAGGCGGTCACGTGACATGCTCCATAGCGTTCTGTCACAGAAGCTGAAAGATTTTTGCGACTCTTATACCATGCAAGTCAATTTTTATAACATAAACAGTCCCTTTGTCAGAAATGAATGAGCATGGTGACCGTCAAAACCGTAGCCCTCTATGTTTTTCAAGAGCATCGTTTATTTAATGTGGGTAAAGTATTGGTGTTTTCTTTTTATCATATCTGATATGGTTGTACCCCTTGCTTGAAAAACGGGAGGGTGTATAGTAATCAGGGTGTCCGTCTGTCTAGTTGTACGTCCGTCCGTCCGTCTGTTACACTTTGGGGTACCTATCTCTTATCCGCAACTCCTCTCATACCACTGAATGAAATTTGATGAGACTTTCAGAGAATCTTTCTTATTAACATATTGTCATTGTGACCTCCTATTTTACTTTTTAATCCGACACATATTTTAGGTTTCCCATAGCAAAATATGGACACGGCCATTATATTCATATGGGAAGTGAGGGGTATTATTTAGTGAGCTCATTGCTCACAGTACCTCTAGTTAAAGTATAAAGTGAACGATATTTCAGGGATTTGTTAATCATATTATTGTTAAGATATTCAACTATTTTTTCCAACTGTAAGTTTGAGACTTTCCATATCAAACTGCTTCACAAATAACACATCTTTCCGAGCTTTAACTGGGCTACAGTACAGATATCATCTTTAAACATTTCCCTTCCCTCACCAAAACAATCAATCCAATTCATGACAAAACATCTGGCAAGTCTTTCGTCTTCATAAACTGTGTACAAATTATTTCATTCTTCCGCAAAGAAATTTCCCAAGATATATAATTATGTTTAACTTTACAACTGTCCGTTGTTCGAATACGAATCAACAATTTTTTGTTACAAATGATCTTTGTATTGGCGTCATTTTCATATCTTGACGTCACAAACATGGGCAAATTAAACATTTTATTAAGTACATATGCTATTTATATAACATGTTTATGACTTTATGTCTGCCAAATTTCATTCTGATCTGAAATGTTGTTTTGTAAATATAGAATTATTCCGCGAACTTTTTCCTCGTACTTCCTAACACGGTCATTGCAACGACTATATAATTTTCGAAAAAAAAACTAATTATTAATTGCTGAAATCCCTGTAACATCAACTTGTCTGCCAGTAGCCTGCCTTGATTTAAAACGTGATTGTTCTCGGAGCATTCTCGTGAGTATTAACATTCACTGTCGAGAGGTCACACCTATCGTGAGCCCTATATACTAGTATGGATTTCGGGCACACGGGGTTTGGACTCCCTTCGTTTCTATTTCTTTCTATTCAAATATTTGGTCGACACACCCTTTTCGTATTTTTTAAGAATTCTACAATGCACTATTTATTACTAATAAAGTACACATTGTACATGTAATTACTTTGTCTTAATGAACAGTTTATAAATATCTCGTTTTCGAATGATTCATTAGATAAAAACATAACAATAGGTTTGAAGCAGGTCCGCCAAATACGACGAATAATCATTTTAATAAAGTCTTTGTAACCATTATGATCGAATAAAAGTCACACATTTTTGTTCTTCAATTAACGGTACAGTGTACTCTAAATACACTTTTGATACATTAATACAATAAAAATGCTATGATGTGTATGTATTACGTACATGTAAGTTCTCAATATATATATATATATATATATATATATATATATATATATATATATATATATATATATATATATATATATATATATATATATATATATATATATCTTTAAAATGAATATTTGTACTATTAAAATAATTTTTGTAAAAACTATTTTACATGAAACAAGTCTTGAACGATATATTTTAAAAGGTCAAAAACTATTTTTTTGATTCTTTAATTCTGGAAATAGTCATTTTTTCTTCAACGTTGACAACAGCATTGGATTTGTTTGACAGAGGTAATGAAAACTAGGGGGAAGAGTATGGCGTGAGTAATGTTACATAACGAGATTACAATGTTAATTGTATTGTTTAAAAAAGAGTTTGGAATTACATAGTTCAGTATTTGTATC